AAAAATGACATATGAACTCTCACAAATAAAGACATTTTCAGAAAATTAGTTGGTCAATATTTGGCACAATGAAGGTTATGCAGTATTGTGCCAAGAAGATGATGGCACAGGACAGTCAAGATCATGGTTTCTTCATCTAATAAATTCTACACAGTGTGACATAATAGTTTATGTGAAATGCAACATGCCACAATCAGATGTGCCATGTGACACTACGCATGTCTCTACAGCCACCAATCATAGCCTATCAGGCCCAATGACTTGAAAGGATTCAGAGCTCCATGCCAATCTAGCCTCTAGCTTACCAATCATTGGATGTGGTGGCTGCAATAGCTTTCTGTTTTTCAAGCTTCTTTTTCTTTATTGTCATATGATGATTGACCATTAACACACCTCCTGTCTTAGGGTGGCTACAACCATTAGTCAATCAGTAGAGAGGGTAGTGTTAAATGGACTAGTACATATAGGTGGACTTTATATAAGTGACTAACAATTTATAGCCTAATCCCAGGTGACACGTTTTAGGCAGTAACAGTTTTTTTTTTTTTAAAGCAACAGTGTAAAAATGAAAAAATAAATAATTAAAAAACAATGAAACCTCCTCGTGCTTGTGAGCAAAGGCAAACGCACGTGTTAGCCCTGCACACACGCAAACAGCGATTGTCTCACACATGTGAGGTATCACTGTGAACATTAGATCATGGGCAGTAAATCTAGCCCTAGATCTCCTCTGTAAACCTAAAGAGGTAACCTGTAAAGGCTTTTAAAGTGTCGCCTATGGGTAGTAAAATTGTCACTGTTGAAAATTTTAAGTGTGACGTGTTTGGTATCTATTTACTTAGCGCAACATCATGTTTTTTATTTTACAAAAAAATCGGGTTATGTATTATGTTTTTTTGGATTAAAATTTGGCGAAGTGTATTTTTTCCCAAAAAATTGCGTTTGAAAAACCACTGAGTAAATATCACGTGACTTAAAAAAAAATTGCAAAAACTTACAATTTATTCTCTAGGGTCTCAGCTTTATAAAAATCTATAATGTTTGGGGGCTCTAAGAAATTTTCTAACAAGTAATACTGTTTGTTACATGTAAATAAAAAGTACCAGAAAAGGCTTGGTCTGCAAGTGGTTAAAGGAAGCTGAAAAAACATACTTACTGGCCACCAGGTATTAAAACTGTGTTACAAAGATGAATCAGAAAAACAATGACTGTTTTTTAGTGCTACTGACAGAATGTATCATATATGTCATTTTTGATTTTGGCTGTACTGTAGTTACACTTTGATGTCCAACTGAATTTTCAGTTTAAATCAGTTAAACACATTCCAGGTGCATAGAAACAAAAGCTAGAGTTCTCCAATCAGCAGGCAGCTTGAACTTTGCTGAATGCAGATCTATAGGTGTGATGTGTCGTCAGAGCACTACAGAAAGACAAATTCTAAATAGAGAGCAAGGGGCATTCTATGCATCATGCTTGCAGGGGCAGGTATTTGTAGTTTGGCTGTGGCTGCTTTCCAAACAAAGCAAACTAGCGGACATTCCCCATATTTTGGTTTGATGCACCCTTGGTTTGGGAGGAGCCAGCCCTTTAAATGGCTGTGGTGCCCAAGGCTGGTAGGATGGACTCCTGATGGTATGGCACTCTCGCTGTAGTGCCCTGGCTGTGGTGCCCAGGGTTGGTAGGATGTACTTCTGATCATATGACCCTCTGATTGGTTGCATAGTGCTGATGTCAACATAAGCTGGTCCTACAGTTTCCCACTCAGCAGTACTTAACCTTGAACTGACAGCTTAGTCACAATTGTAGTGGCTCTGATGAATCATGCACCAGAACAAGGCAGTGCTGCATCTATACAACGACTGGTTGTTAATGTGATATTGAAGTAATTTTTTTGATAAATGAGCTGCTAATAGCAGTATTTACATGCACTGGCTTATGCTCTTGTTGCTGTCAATCTCCACAGTTGAGGAAGAGGAGAGGCTCTGTGTCCCTCTTGCATGTGGCTGGGAACAGTTGCACAGATGATTGTTATTCTAAATGAGAACTTAGTGGAGACTGCTGGGTCGCCATAGGTTCTGGCAGGCACAAGGAGCACCCAGATACTTTGAGTCATGTGTTTTGTATGGTCTACCTATCTTTCTATACTGTATGATAAGATATGTAGCTAAATGTGACACAAGTAAAAGCAGTACTGTGGGCGTAGGATTATAACTTTTTTTATGGTTGAACTGGATGGACTTTTGTCTTTTTTAAGCCAGACTAACTATGTACTATGTACATGGATACATTATTTTAGCTATGTAAAACTGTGCTGAAAATTCATGTTTGTGTAAATGCAGCTAGACTGAATGCACCTACACACTGCTGATCATCTAGGTGTTCATTTGGCCATAGCAAAGCATTACATGCTTCCAGGTGTGTTTAGAAATGAGCTCCAAATGTACCTTGTACACATGTATGGTATTTTAATTTCTTTGGATATGGGGTCTGCAGAAAACTCTTATTGTGTGTGTAGTTTGCTTGTATGCATTGACTTAGTTTTTTAATGATATATTTCCTAGTCATATAAACATATGCTCAAATGTTTTTGTATGTTCATGGAAAGTACCCCCTGAGCTGAATGCAATGAAGATAATATATATATATATATACATATATATATATATATATATATATATATATATATATATATATATATATTTATATATGTATTAATGCCAGAGTCAACACGATGGGCCCAGCTGCCTTTCCAGTAAAGTTCAATATCTGATTTCCTGATAGAAAGCATGCATTGTCTGCATTAAGGCCTGTGAATTATCCAGTAAAGTAACAGTGAGTGTCAGGGCAGCTGGACAATAGAGGAAGTTTCTTGTAGATTCAGTCACAGCTGCACAACCCTTTGTGTGCCGTGGCTGGATTTGGATAGGACTCAGAAGATGAAATTGCAGCATTAGCTTGATATCAGCTTACAGGCATTCTTGAGTCTTCTGTGCTTTTTCTATATGGATGTCTTTAAAGTGACCTGAACTTAAAAAAGTGAAGATCTGCTATCTTCTAGGGAATATCTAGAAATGTTAATTGTGCCAAACAGTACCCTTAAACATTTACCTTGAATTCTTCCTGACAAATTGTACTTCCTATGTTAAGGGATTTCTGTTCCTGCACCCAAATAACTGTTTATTTAGCTGTTTGTTTGTGGAGTTATTAAATTATACCTCTGATTACTAGTCTCATGATATTTAAAGTGAGATTTGGTACTACTGTGCTGCTCACCGTTCTCCTTGCTGGAGAGAAAGATTCACCTGGGGACCTTAAGTGCAAGGATCTTCCTGCTATTGCTTCATTCATTCTGTGGATCTATGTTTTCTGAACCACTCCTGTTGATACTTAAATATTTTTCCATAACTCAACAGATTACTGACAATCGCAGGGCATCCTCTACAAAGTTGGCCACCTCCACACAGTGTGGAACAAAGTATAGTAAGTCAGAAACAGGGAAAATATTAGCTGCGGGGTAGCCTACGTGCGATAACGACGACTTTGTCCTCTTCTTTTCGTTTTTGAATTCAGCTTCCACAGTTCAGGTCCTCTTTAAAAAAGAACTCCAGGCATGGTTGAAAACACCCATTTTTTCCAAAATGCATATAGTAAATTTACTTGGATCACCTTGATCTTTATTTACTTATTCCCAGTTTGACTTTGATGGCTATCATTGCATATCTATAAACGCAGCTGCATTTTGTCTCTGAGTTGAAATCTCAGGCATCCTTCATACACCTGATGTATTCACAAGGTGAATGGACATTCAATGGTGGCCAAGGACAACTGGACTGAGGGAGTGGAGGCCTTAGATACTCATACCAGTTACACCTGAAGATTAAATTTAAATTCCACCCACTCCTCTAATGCAAATTGTATCTTTATAGAAATAATAATAAAATATATAACATAGTGCTTTATGTCTTTCATGTCAAAATGATGTAGCAGAATAATTACCAGTAATTTAAGCAAACAGTATGCATACTTGTCAATATTGTAAAGTGCAGTTTTATATGAGACATCTATTCCATAAATCCATAATGACATAGTCTTTGATGAGATGTTAAGCACACCATCAGCCTAATTTCATATTTCATGATGAAATAGTGCTAGCACAGTACGCGTTAAGTCTTATTCTATATAATTAGAATCTCTCAATTGGGTTTTCTTTTTTTCTTTGTCTTTTCCTAGAATGGCCGTGCTTTTATATGCAACATTTTATGAGCCATTTCATTTATTTTTTTTTTTTACTGTAAATAACCTGAAATAATATTATGTTACAGTTAATTACAATTTGATAAAATACCATAGTATGCTAATAGCTAACAACAGCAAAATGCAGAAATCAATTGTTACTTTATTTATTTTTATTTCTGACCTACTTCTGTTGAAGAGCTGCTCCAACATCTAAACATGCTACTGAAACTCATAGTGGAAACAGCCAATTTTCAGTGGCATAATATACCACACATACAGTACAATGAGCACTGACAATGTTGACCTGTTGGTTGTCCAGAATAGTATAAAGAGGGGCTTGTCCCATTTGGCTCCTAGAGCTATATTACATGTCACATAATAAAGCTGAACAAGCAGTTTATCACTCATTTCTACAGGATCATCATCTCTTTTTTTCTGCATGGCTGTTATAGGCTTGAGGCTTAAAGTATATGGAAACCCTAACAATTAAATTCTATTATTTGTTCTCCTTTGGTTTGTGCAGAAAGTTAAAAAAAAACTTTTCCTTATCCTTCCAGAAATCGTGTGAATTGCTGACTTTCTGTGATCTATGAATCTGCTGTACTGTTATCAGTTAGCAATGTTACTAATTCACATTGTGAACTACAGATCCCCCCCATATTATGGAGATGAGGGGGGAGATGTCCTGTAGTCCTATCCAAGAGGAACAATGCTGCTCATCCATAGATACAGTATGGTAAATGAGTACTGTCTCCCTAGGGCAGGACTTGTGTTAAGGTGGTTTTAAACCCTTAAATATACCTAGTGAAATGACCATGGGCGGACTGACAACTCATGGGGCCCCGGGCAATAGGGGATCATGGGGCCCCTGTGTCCTTGCCCAAACTCAAAAAAGCCTATGAAAAAGGTACCAGGGGCATCTCATGGGGCCCCCTACTGACCCCGGGCCCTTGGGCAGTGGCCGAGTTTCCAAATGGTCAGTTCGCCCCTGGAAGTGACTGATCTCGGGTGATACACAGAAATTGAAAAACATCCTCTTATATAGGTTGCACCTGTTTATTTGTAGCCTTATCACCTCTACATCAGTTCAAAGCTCAGAATTTATACAACTTGTCTGAGATTTCAGAAGCAGAGACGATGAGCTGAAGTTACACTCTGCGGAACTTAGTGAGAGCTCATTAGAGGAAAGGGACACGCCCTCTTCACACAGCACACAAAAACAGAGCTGAGGCTGTCAATCACAGGCTGTGTGCTGGGGCTCCCATCCTTGTCACCTTTTTGCCTCTTGGTGTCAGGAAAATTTGTCAGATGTGACTCATGCAGATAGCAGAGGAATGAGGCAGCAGATGGAAATGACAGTGTTCTAGATTGAAGTACACGCTATAGAGGGATTTGCTTTGTTCATATTTCATGACATAGGTTTGCAACCACCTTAATGGTAGGATAATCAGATGAAAATAAAGGAAGAGTCTGAAAAAAGAAAACTAATACTTCTACTACGATGGGCTGGTTAGGTGCAATATTTTATTTTTGTTCTTGGATTTAAATGCAGTTTATAACATTTTTAAAATGCACAGAAGTCCCACAAAACAACTCTGGGGGGGAATGCTCAGTATGGTCATGTACATTTTGACAATCAGATTGAAAGATCAACACTCCAGAATTGGGTCAAAAAATGTTCAGATTGAAGAATCTAACATAGTTTTCTTTACTGTCATCATCATGTGCATTAAATTTAAATATCTAAAGTATATCATATATTGTACAGGTTCTTGGGGGGGGGGGGGGTTGCTTTAAAACTTTTTTTTATTCTGTGTTGCATTTTAGTGCTGCTCAGGGCAGGTTTCCTGACAGTGACAACAATGGACCATGCCTTTGTAATGTGCATTGAAACAGCTGCTTGTGTTCTCCACAGGGAATGTGTGTGACAAGCTGACAATGTAGGAGCACAATTGAAAAACAGAAACAGAACTTTGTCACACTATAACGCGAAGTGACTGAACAAGGACTTTCATGGCGAAATAAGCAGATATGATTTAAAAAAAAAAAAACAACTGCATATTTCAAAAGTTAAAAGTTACTTTTGAAATTACATTAACGTGTTAAAGCTTTTAGTGGCTGGAATTACATATACTATAACATATAAAAGCACATGTGAGATAGGAAGCTGGGGCATTCAGGAGGTTTAATCACCTTCCAACTGCCATATTGTTAAAAAAAAATGTCCAGGAGGTAGAAGTCTGTTTCTGAAGTGCCGTTTATAAATTGCACTACATTGATAAAGCATGAGCAGCCAGTGCATTCATTAAAAGTCTGTGAAAAAGCTGTCATTAGACTGTTTGCATCACAGACAAAAGGTACAGAGATGGTCCTAGTGGCTCTGTGCCTTGTGATCACTGCTTTGACCAATCGCCATAATCACAAATGCAATCAATTTTTATTTCTAGCTCAGCTTAATATTGCAGTAGCGCTCCAAGCCCCTGGTTTATCAAAACTTGGGGAAAAAAAATCTTTTTTAGGTAATTTCGGCTGCAAAACCTAATTTTTTATTCAGATATAATAGGCCTGATTTGCAGATCTAAAAGTTATAGGAAAATGTACTCTTAAAAAAAACAACAAAAAAAAAAAATATAAAGGTAAAGCTCAAAATTTCATACAAATTGGCCAGTGGCAAATCAGTTTATTACTATATTTTAAAAGTTTTTTTTATTGTTTCTTAAATGCTAAAACAAAGTGCACAAAAACACTACAAAACAACAACCCCATGTTCTCCAAGCACTCTTCCATCCCATTTTCCCAGTTATTATTATTATTATACAGGATTTATATAGCACCAACAGTTTGTGCAGTGCTTTAGTTATTTCCAAAATATTCCAAATATAGACTAAACTGAAAAACAGTACAGCTCTAATGCTCCAGAAGGTAAATCCTGCTGCTGGTAACACTGAATACTGATGTTGGCCAGAATGTAAGGCCCATCAGGCTCAGCTTACACTACAGAAAAATGTCTTCTGGCAGAACACATGATCAGCAGACTGTAAGTCTAAAACAGTTAAAGGTGATGAGAATTGGCTTCAGCTTGGCTCTCCGCCCATAAAAAAACTCCTCCAATGCATTTTGCCCATGTTGGGCTTAATAATAGGGCCTTCAAAATTAAGCCCCTCATGGGCAAAATGGATTAGGAGGAGTTCTTCTATGAGTGGAGAACTGAGCAGAAGCCATTTATCAACATCTTTTACCATTTTAGCTGTACAGTCAGCTGATCCTGTGTGTGGACAGGCACCATTTTTCTGTATTCCAAATGTAGACTTCAGATATTTGGTAGATAGAAACTATCTGGCATGAGGACCATACACGAGCACTTGAATAGGCAACAAGTAGAAAGAGTGTGTAAGAGACAGTAAGCACAAATAATGTTCAGTGATGAGGCAGGCTTTATCTTAAATTAAATATTAAAGTGTATTATTTGAAAGACAATAGCCACAAATATTGTACAGTGGTTGGATAGTGCAGCTGCAGATGGCAAAAAGCAGAGGGCAGAGAGTTGCCATCTAAAGCTTAAAAAAAAAAACAACAAAAAAAACACTACACTATAAACATTCACAAGTCCAGTAGTCTGAGACTCACTTTGCCCAAGCTCATTGCTATATAATCTTGTAAGCATTTCCTGGCCTGGGTTGCCCCAGAGTGGATGATTTACAATTGCAATATCCTTTTTGTTTGTTTGTTTGCATTGATTTGTTTTTATTTTTGTATTTTTATTTTTTATTTTCAAATTTACTTATTTTATTTTTCACTGCTCCTTCCAGGCGGCACATAGCAGCCAGGTTTTCAAAATATTTATTTCTTTATAGTCAGGCCACTGAAGGCATAGCTGCAGGGGGGAAACATTATGGCAAAAGGCTTCCTCTCTTCCACAATGCAGGGAAAAGTGCAGGCAGCCACAAATGGAGAGGGGAAAAATCTAAGGCCAGGGGGAAGGGCAGACAGCAGCAAAAAGTCAAGCATAGAATCTTACATCCATAGGCTGCCCACTCCTTCCTCAAATCAAGAATATCCCCCAAAAAAGAAACAAATAAAGGCATAAAAGGAGCAGTGGAGGTACTGCTTGTTCGGAGGCAGTAGGTGTCAAGCATTGCCTTACTTCTTTTCTTCCTCTACTTACCCCTCATTCACCTTCACCACCTCCTTCTCCTCCTCCAGCTCCATCTCTTGGTCTATTTCCTCTAATCCTGGCAAGAAAAGATTGCATGTTGTCTTGATTACTGTCTAATGAAACTCTCAAACATGTATGAGAGGCAGTCTGGAAAGGCTTTGGGAAGCTGTTTTTTTGTCCTTGCCAGTGTTGAATCACATAGGAAGTAGTGAAGTGCAACAAATCCTTTCCCTTCTTATTCCTCGGAGCAGCCACTTGCCTGTAAGTGTTGCAAATGCACCTTTTTTCTCCTTCTCCTCTTCTGCTAATACCACCATAGCCCTGCCATCTGGCTATGAGGAGTCAGTGGAATGTTAGACAATGCTAGCCCAGGGACAGGTCCAGCAGAGCTCTGCAATGTTTTTTTGGGCATTTTTGTAATGTATCTGCTGCTGGAGCAAAAGAAAAAAATTTCCCCAAATCACAACCATGTCCAGGTTCTTAATACCAACTTTGACAAATACCACTTTTCATGAGATTGCGGCCTGTGCTATACCCACAGTGTCAGCAACCCAGCTGCCATTATTTTGCCCAGAAGGCCATACAACAGACACAATTTGTTTTTTTGCACAGGAAGCCATCTCCACCCATCACCAGCATGTGAATGCCATGAGGCAACAGAAAGCAGTGCAGAAATACAAAGAGGAGAAGGAGGGTTGTGGTGCTGGTGATAAGGAGGAAGGTTCCCATTACAGTGTAAACAACTGTGTCCCCTTATGAAATCTCTGTGGCTCATGAAGTTAAATGAGATCATGGCCATGGAGGATCATATGGTCACGCTACATAATATTGAAGAAACTTTCAGGTCCATGTAGATGCCCTGGCAGTATTATGTTTACATGGACTCTTACCTCAATGCATTGGAAAGCAGTGTAATCATCCATACCTGTTGCCTTTGCTCCCCAAGGAGATCATCTAGGTCCCCTTGGCCCATTTGCCTCTCTTCCTCTGTATACCCATTCTCCTTCTCCTTTTCCTCTTTACTTCCTAGTCTTGGAAGTTCTGTTTCTGTAGTGCAGTCCAACCTAATTTGATACTTAGATCTCAATGCCTTTTCCAAAGATATCATTGTTGGCTACCTGGAATCAAGATACACTAGCATTGTTTCTTTTTGTTTTTTCCAGTACATTACATCAGGCTTACCCCTTCTTACTTACCACTGCATCGCTTCTCAGCATGCATTATATTGTATTGTATCCAACATTATACCTTTTTGTCTATCAGCTATTTTGATGTATTCTCTTCATCGACCTTATCTTTGATTGTGCTGGATAATTAATGCACTTATGTTTGTATCTGATGGAAAAACCCTTTTTTGCTTTTTTTTGTACCCTAACTTTCTTAATAAAGTGAATTACAAAAAAGGTAAGGAGTAGGGGGAGGAGGATTGGGGTTGTGGCAATGAGGAGAGTGTTGAGATACTGGTAGTGAGGAGGAGGTTTAGGGTGCTGGTGGAGAGGAGGAGGAAGGAATTGGAGGTGGTTCAAGAGGGTCTTTTCACCCTTCCGCAATACAAGGGTAAGATCAGAGATCTACTGCCCCCATCCCAGAGGGTGCCCAAAATGTAGCACATTGAGGATATGCTATGAATAACCTATATTTGTCAAGTCTTCCATTTGATGACCAACATGCATACAATCCTTTGAGCCCTGAAAATAGTTTTTTTTTATACCACAGCAGAGAGGGTGAAACCTTGAGTAGGGCTAGACAAGAGCAGAGGACCAAAAACTATTAGTGGCTTCAGCTGAGATAGCGCTACATCCCTATGCAAAAACTAAAAAGGGTTCCTTGCAAG